CCAACCTTTTAAATACATTTTCGAGTAGTACAATTTAATTTATTAGACTATTTCTTCCAACTTCTTAAATTCGTTAACGAAACAATTGTTGGTGAAGTAATTGTTGACAAAATGAATCAAACCCATATTTATTTCTACGTTTATCAAATTCACGATTTTAATTGGTCAATCACAAAATTGCATGGGTTAAATTTTTGTGTTCCCTCCTGTTAATTTTGTGTTCCCAGTACGTTCCCTCCTGTTACAATATAGTGAAGATGGAAAATTTACCATTTCATTACATATAAATTCTGCTTGATAGTGAGTGATTTTTAATATAAACTCTCAATATAATCATAGTGAAGTTTTACTTGGTGCCCATTATATTAACCAGAGCTCAATATAGTAAAGTCTTTATAAAATTTTGTCAATCATAATTGTATTAAATAACAAGAACTGCTCCAAGACCAGAATGTTTACTAAGAATTGACACATAAAAAACAATTACATTCCAAATAGCATTCATTGTGTTGTGAACAATTATTTGTTTGAGTGGAGGAATAAGAACAGGCACGAATTTGATAACATAAAAATAAATGTTGGTTTGATTCATTTTGTCAACAATCACTTCACTAACAGTTGTTTTGTTAACAAATGGTTCAAATTTAAGAAGTTGGAAGCAACCATGTGACAAACATTTGAAATAGTCTAATAAATTAAATTGTACTACTCGAAAATGTATTTAAAGGGTTGGTTTTCGACTTGGTTGAAGAATAACTCTCTTCCTAACTCTTCTCTTGACCATATCTCTCAATATAACCAAAATAACTTTAATATACTGTATTTTCAATATTTTTGATATTTTTGATAAACTCATCTTTTTGTCATACTTTCTTTTATTGTGTTGACATTTTTTTTGATTTTGAATTGAAGACAGTCCAAGATATCAAACATTTGGATTGGTACATCTCTGGAACGTTTCTGCTATTTAAAGTTTTATTTTTTGATGGAAAATGCCTTGGAAATTATGAAGGTCAAGAAATAGATTCGGTGTTATATCTTGAAGAAACCGAAGATGAGATTGCTGATCTAACATTTCATCAAAGTTCCAATGATTGGGAAAATTGGACACTAAAATCAGGTACAATTGTAAAAAATCTTTTGAAAGATGCATCCAAAAAACAAGGACATCCACTCAGGTAAATCATTAAACAAAATATTAGGATTCTATATATTTGTCAATTAAAATTTTTTTTGCGATAATATATTTATTATTTAAACCCACATTAGACCAGAGGTCTGGGGAATTCTTCGATGCGGTTATAAAATTGCTAAACCAGACTGGTGCCAAAAAAATGACTATCTCGAAATTCAAAGCAGTGCCAAGTATCAAACCAAAATAATTCCATCAGAGATTGTACTGAGTTTGTTAAAACAAGTAAAGAAACTTTTCCCTCTAAAGAAAGAGATTAACAATTTATCAAATTCACCTTTGTAGACAATGATTGTAATAACCATGTCCACACATGAGTATATACACTACAATTATTCAAATTAGTATAGTTAGTGTAATCACAATATATGTAATCGCAAAAAATGTTTGTAGATGGTTTCCTAGAAATAACAAAGCCTTTGGAAGGTGATGATCAGTTATTTCATAAACTAAAGAAGGTAATTTGTATGAGTTAATACCATTAGATGAAATTTAGTAATCAAAGGATACTGATTTCATGTTTGATATATCTTCATAAACACATCTAAAAGCAATACAACACACTTTCAGGAAAGCATATGCAATTGCTTCGGTGTATATGGATATTTCATAGAATCTATGAAATGTTGTTGAAAAGTATTATCCTTTTGATGTTGAAAAATAAAATGCGTCTTCTTTCTCAGTTGTTGTGCAGCAAATAATATATTAAAGGAGAATTTTAGTTTGAAATGAATAGAAAAAAAGGTTTTAAAAAAAGTTTAAAATTTTTAAAAAAAATTTAAGTATATTAAACTTTAAACTTACTACTATAATTTGCATTGTAAAACTAATTTTATAAGATCCCTGAAATCATTGGTAATGCCAATGTTCACTTTGTCTGGTTTTGTTGCAGTCTGCCCCATTTATTTTTTCACTTTGTTCCTTTTTTAAAATACTTCTAATACTAATGGTGCTATAATTCTCAGATTCCATAGTAGATCTGATGTAAATAAGTTTCATATTGTTATTTTTATATAAGGGTAGTTCTATATATCACTTAAGAAAAAGGGAAAGTAACAAATGGGACAATCATGATGATAATGACTGAAGTTTGATCCCTGAAATCATTGGTAATACAAATGTTCACTTTGTCTGGTTTTGTTACAGTCACCCCAATTATAATGACCTAATGAGTAATTGATTTTTTTAGAGGGGTCATATTTTGCCAGTTGTTCGTCGAATGATTAAATTTGACCCCTGAAATTCTTGGTTTCGCTTTGACTGGTCTTTGTTGCAGCATGCCCCAATTAATAAATAGAGGAATATAATTTGCCCTCTTATTTTAAAATTAAATGGAAAAATGGTGTCCGCGGATAAAATTTCTCGGCGCTTGGTTAGTCTTATTGAAATTTTGTAGGCGATGTACAGTTTTACTCGAACAAGCTTCAATTCCTTTATACATAACGCCACCAAGTGGTGTTTACTCGCTCGTTTATTCATTCGTTATTGACTTTAAGGGTATTCTCATGCTACATAACCATTATTGTTCCCAACATTTCTATGCATTTGAAATTGTTGATGTTGTGATCCAATCAACAATATACACTGGATGTTAAATGAAATAATTTTTTTTTTATCATAAATTAATTAATAAAATGATCATGAATACAAATTAATTTACTTTTTCATTTTATTATTAGTTATTATTGCTATTATTGCTATTATTAAAATCCTGGCCCACAAAATTCCTCACCAAATATAATTTTTTTTAAAAACACTATAATACAAATAAATTAATAAATTAATGTGATGTAAATAATACAATTAGTAATAAATAAATAAATAAATAAATATTAGATTAGAAAAATTAGTCTAATGAATGAATGTCAAGGTTTTTCTTATCGATTTTATATTAATATAAATGTTAAATGGGGGGTTTTTTTTTACGGTTATATCATACAATTATATAATTTTTTTGTGTGATGAAGAGTAATCTATTCGTTCAGGATGCCACTCTCTTGTAAATTCAGATCATTATGATGATGGTGATGATGGCGATGTCAGTTATAATGAATGGTTTTTTCTTTTTCCATAGCTTTTCAATTTTTGTTAAATTGATTTTTATATATTATCACTTCTAACTAAATCAAAATATCTTCCTTTTAGAGACATCAATTCTTTATGAGTTCCGGTTTCAACAATTCTTCCATCCTCTATGTACGCAATTCTATCCAGGCTTTTAACTGCAGTTAATCGATGTGTTATCACTAATGTAGTTCGTCCTTTCTGTACTTGGCTCAATGTTTCTTGAACTATTGCTTCATTTGTAGCGTCTAGTGCACTTGTGGCTTCGTCTAATATTAGAATTTTCGGATTCTTCAATAATGTTCTTGCTATGGCAATCCGTTGTTTTTGGCCACCGGACAATTGCGATCCACTAGATCCTATTTTTGTCAAGTACCCTTTTGGAAGTCCGAGTATATATTCATGCATATTAACTTGTCTTGCTACCTGCTCAATTTCTTCTGCAGTTGCATCCTCTTTACCATATGCAATATTTTCAGCTACAGTCGCTTCAAACAGTACCGGTTCTTGTGATACAACACCTATTATGTCACGTAGCCAGTACATTTGAAGTTCTTTGATGTTTGTGTAATCGAGTAAAATTTGTCCGGAATCTGGTTCGTAAAGTCTTTGTAAAAGTGCAGCAACTGTTGATTTACCATTTCCACTCTTACCAACTAAAGCAACTGATTGACCTTGTTGCAATGTTAAATCTAAACCGCTAAGAACCCTACTATTCGGTCTTTCAGGATAGGAAAAGTACACATCTTTGAAGACAATGGTTCCTTGTAATGACTCAAGTATTTTTCCAGTTGTGGTGGGTAGAGTTGGCAAATTAATTATTTTTGATATGGATTTAGCTGCTTGTTTACTTTTAGCATAATAAGGGATGGTTGCAAGCATTTGTGTTGCTGATGATGTACAAAAAACAACTAACGTCCATACTGTGAGCATTGTACTAAGATTATAAGTTCCATTGGCAACAAGCTGTGCACCATACCAAAATGTCACAGCTTTAGTCAAGTAGGATAGGCCTTCGATAAAACCTGCTGTCAATGCTGATATAACTGCTTTACGTATACCAATTATATAAGGCCTACGAAGTGAATCGTGAAATTTAAGCAACATGGCCTTTTCAACCGCAAGACAAAATACTGTTCTTACACTAGAGATTGTTTGATAGAAAACATTAGAAGCATTTTCGTATGAACTTTTTTGCATACGTTCATATTTTTGTAGAACATAGACTTGAATTTCTGATCCTAGTAACAAAATTGGTACAAATCCAAATCCAACCAATGTCAATTGCCAACCAACTATTATTGACCATATCATACCACCAACAAGTGTCACAGTACCATAAACAATACTTCCTGCAAAATGTCCAATTAGGTTCTTAGTTGCTTCGGTATCAGTAGTTAAAATTGTGGTAAGTTTTCCTGTTACATTTTCCGGCTTATCAAACCATGATTGAGATTGTCTAAGAATTGTTCCAAATCCTAAATGCCTTAAACGAACCGCCCAATCTTCTGAGGCTCTCTCGAGTAAAAAATATTTAAAATGAGCTGATCCACCATTTATAGCAGCTATTGCCAACACAGTTAGTGCAAGGTTTCTTGAATTAGCAATTAATTGCTCACTGTCGCTAATTGAATATGTAGCCAGCAATTTAGCAAGAACAAATGAAAATACTGGCATTACAAGTCCATTGATAATACATGCAATCAGACCAAAGGCATATAAAGTTTTATTATTCATTGTTAATTTCATGAGCTGGAAAAATTTCATTTTTACATTGTCTTTTGGTGCATCACCGATTGCATTCGTGACAATCACGTCTATTATACCACCATCATCAACATAATCATAATAACTTAAAAGGTCAAAATACGAAACCCTATTCTCATATCTTTTAGTTATTGCGGCTGTAGCTGTACCTTGTAAAACATCCATAGCACTTGACTCGAAATAATCCTCGTACACCGACTTTCTCCAACCAACTTGAACTCCAACACTTAATGATCTATGTAATAAATTGTTACCAGGGGTGGTGAGTTTGGTTGGACTATCGGGTAACATAATATCCATATATGATTTCCTTTTACTATTCTTTCTGCTAATAGTATTATTGTTGTTACTGTTATTATTTACTATAGTCTCTGAATCTTTCAATCTCATATTTATACTATACAATTCGTGGGTTCTTCGTTTTGGATGTGGATTTTTGTAGGATTCTTTTAATAATTTACTATAATAACTATCTTTGATCTCAAGAAGATCAGCTACCAATCCCTTTTCTACAACTTCACCATCATGAAGTACATATACCAGGTCATCTTCTCTAATATGTTTCAATTGATGAGTTATCACTATTGTAGTTCTGCCATTACTAGAATTTTCAAGAGCTTGTTGAACTAACATATCCGATGTCATATCAAGGGCACTGGATGCCTCATCTACAAACAATTACGATATGTATTAATAGATGTGTGAGTAGGTGAACATGTGTATATATTTACGTATATAAATAAATATGAATAAAATAATAGTTACCAAGAATTAGGATTGCGGGATCTTTAATCAAGGCACGAGCTATAGCTATTCTTTGGCGTTGACCACCAGAAAGCTTTCCGGCTTTATCACCAACGACTGTGTCATAACCTTCCGCAAGTTCCATAATCTCGTCATGAATACAAGCCAATTTGCAAGCATTAATCACTTCATCCATAGTAACATCTTCATAGTCAGATCTACCATAAGCAACATTTTTGAAAATAGTTTCGTCAAAGAGAACCGGCTCTTGACTAACCACTCCAATCTTACTTCTTAACCAATCAACATTTACAATTTTCAATTCACGTCCATCCAACATAATTGTTCCTTCGTCTGGCTCATAAAGTTTTTGAATTAATTGAGCTATTGTTGATTTGCCAGATCCACTTTGTCCTACTAGTACTGTTGTTTTGCCAGATGGGATGACTATATCTATATTTTTCAGAACTACTGATTCTGGCCGACTTGGATATGAGAAACTGACCTGATAGAATTCTATGTCACCCTTAATTGATGGCAAGGAAAAACCTCTAAGAGCTTCTAATCTTTTTAAAGCCACCTTTTCCAATAAATTGTTTATTGAACGTATACCATTCTTTGCTTTTGTAATAGAGACCAAAAGAGGTAATACACTTTTCAGCATATTGGCACCCAAAAGTGTAGCGTAGAAAACTGACAAGACGTCACCTGGTGTAAGATTGCCATCAGCCACTAAAATTGAACCGTACCAAAAACCTTGGACAAACAAAGACAGTAACAGAAATTGTATTAATCCAGTTCTTAGGGCATATATCCAAGCAAGATTTGATGATACTTTATTCGCTTCTTTGATACAAACTTCATGTTTCTTTTCTTGCTTTTCTTCACCATTAAATGATCTAATTGTTTTTATATTTGACAAAGAACTTTCTATTATTTCGCCAGCCAATACAAAAATGTCACGTTCTTGCTTGATTAAAGGAGAAGCTGCACGAGATGTCAATGCTAAAACCAGAAAAACTAGAGGCATCGAAGCCAAGATGACAAATGTCAAGACCACATGCTTACTAAATGCCAAGGCAAGACATGCAATGAAGGTTACTATGTAGCAAATTATAAGTCCAAGGTTTGTGGCAATCACAATATGCACATCTTCGGTATCTTTATTAACACCAGCCAATAAACCACCTGAAGTGACTTCTTCTCTTTCAAAATAACTTATTGGCATTTCTAGCAATGAATTAAAATATTCTAGTTTCATGCGTCTAGCTTGTCTTTCAGCAGTCCACATCCATAAGAAAGTGTTTATAGCTGTGATGCCGAAAGCACCTATACCCAATTCAACAAAATCTAACACTAGAATATTGACGCGTTGTTTGAATTCATCTTCACTTATACTACCTTGTTCTATTTCTGTGAATACATTGAATAAGCCACCTAGTAAATAGGTCATGAATGGTATTACTAGACCATTTATGATACTGAAAAAAATGCCAAAAGTCATGATCAAGTGATCCAATCGTGTTGCAAAACGAAAAATATGGAGTATAGAAGTTTTGGTTATTGTCATTGGTGGTTTTTGTACAGGTTTGTAAATGGATTTTTTTCTATCAGTGTAGATTGGTGGAATATCATCTGGATCAAAACTAGTATTAACTGAAGTACTAAATGGTCTACTATCATCTATTATTTTATTGCTGTTTTTAAGCACCGAAGAAGAAGAACCAGGAAGAAAATCTGAAATTTTTTCTTCGTCAATATATTCTAAAGTTATTTTTGGAACTTTTGATGATGATGATGATTGTTCTTTATTTCCAAAACTTGAATCAATTGATTTTGGAAAGTCGACTAATGTTTCATTTGAACTGACGGTGGAAAATAAAGACTCTCTATTTAATTCATCATTACTATTACTATTAGCGTTAGTGTTAGTGGTAGTGCTATTAGTAGTGTTATTAATGTTAGTATTATCAGTGATGTTATTAATAGTAGTGTTATTATTTATAGTGTTATTATTTATAGTGTTATTATTGGTAGTGTCATTATCATTAGTGTCATTATTATTAATGTTATTATTGCTTTCAATATTATTATCATTTTCGCTATTACTATAATCACCTTCGCCATTACTATTATTTTCACTATTACTATTTATATTATCACTTTCGCTATTACTATTATTACTTTCAATGTTACTATTTATATTATCACTTTCGCTATTACTATTATTTTCACTATTACTATTTATATTATCACTTTCGCTATTACTATTATGTTCACTATTGTTTTCAATATTACTATTTATATTATTGTTTATATTATCGCTTTCGCTATTACTGTTATCAATATTACTATTTATATTATCGCTTTCGCTATCATAATTATTACTTTCGATATTACTATTTATATTATCGTTGTTACTATTACTATTTATATTATCACTTTCAATATTATTGGTTTCGCTAATATTATTATTACTACCACTAGCACTATTATTGTTAGTGTTATTTGATATTGAATTATTATTTTCAGATAACGGTGAATCAATCATCCTGATTACTTCATCGATGGCTTCGATTATATCTTTTCCTGAAGAAGACATTCTTACAATTTATATAAATTATTAAAGAAAAACCTATTTACAAAATTTGTTTTTCCTTTAAAATTAAATAATTTAAATTTATGGTTTTATATATATGGAAAGATAAAACCATACAAAAAAAATTTTTAAAGTTTTATAGTTACTAAAAAAATGATGATAGTTGGACAATATTTAGGTTGGATGGACGGACGACGAATGAAGGATTTTGAAAAATATGAAAATTGAAAAATCGTGTAGAAAAATTTTTGTAACTAAAAAATAATGTATTCATTCATATATAGGTTTTTTTTAAATAACAATAAACAGCATTTGAATTACCTGAATTCGATCCATTATGGTAAACAATACTAAATACTAACACTGATACTAATATTAATAGTCATTATTATTGTTGTACTTTGTTACACGACAGTTATAAAATAGATTTACTAGTATTTTAGTATTCAATGAAAATTCTCAACCTTTCCTTTGAAAGAAAAAATGGTTAAATCATTTAAAACGTCTCCTTTAATCACAAATACAGGTTTTCAACCAAGATTTCAGAATCTATATCATTATCATTGACAAGACTTTCAAATGTTGAAAATAACTCTAATGAAATCATATATGCTGACCGACTGGCATTCATCATGATGGTATGCGTATAACAAATAATAATATATATATGGCAAATGATATTCGATAGATCTTTATTTTTATTTTTCATTTACAATTCATTTATCTTTTTTGAAAAACAAGTACAACTTTTTAAAAAAATATTCTACATACTCAAAAGAGAGGTTTATAATATAAGTTTGCTCTGGTTTTGTAGAAAATTATTTTACACAAGAGTCAATCTATATATAACAGTCAGACATTCATATGTTAATATTTAATGTGGATATTAATAACTGACATGTAAATAGAAATTCCGATTCGTGTGCGTAACCAATTGGTTTTTCAAATATCTCGTTATTTTTATAATTGTTATAGTTTTCTAATGAATCCTCTCTCATATTGATAAATACTCTATGTAAAGCTATAATAGTTATTCAAAAACAACATTACTTTTTACTTCAATATTATGATTTTTATCCCGGAGGCTTGCATTGGTCATATAATTAAACCCGAGCCCGCATTAAATCATGATTTCTAAACCTGCACCCAACCCAATCCGGTAAACTCGCATTAACCAAGTTTATAAAAGATTAAAAAATTTTATTTTTTACTAGTTTTCTTTATTTTTTCCACGAATAGATAACACCGTTTAATTAAATTCGCATTCCAACGAATTTTTAAAAACCTTACACATCATGAAAACATATAATAAATAAGTAATCTTGTTTCAACAAACTTTGAATGAAATTCTTACTATTATATGTCCGGCCATTTCGTTGTAACAATGTTATATATACTGTATTACAAATTCTTATTCGTAACCTTAATCGTTTTATTCGAATTGTTCGTTTTATTCAATTATTCGCTTTTATTCGAATTACCGTTTTTTGTTCGTTTCATTCGCTCTATTTGTTTTACTGTTATCGAATCATTTGCTTTATCGAACTATTCGTTTTATTCGCTTTATTCGAATAGAAATCCTATTACTATTACTATTATATGGCGCAATTTTTTAACACACTATAAATGATGGGTATAAGTATCAACCAGGCCGAGTTGGGTCCCATTTCAGGCCTCTGTTTCGTCCGATATAAACTTGATGAGTGGTTGAAAAGATGGTAAGCTTTTATGTGTATTATTGTTGTTTATTAAAAAGAAAAAAATGTGGGCAAGAGATCATCAGGTGTAATGATCAAAAAAGACAATTGAATTTCCCAAATGCGGTAGTTTGGCCAATAAACCTTAACACCAAGATTAAGGTTTGTGGCTGATATTAGGTTTGTCGGTCACCAAAAATTTTCGAAAAAATCAATTTGTATTAAAAAAATCATGATTCATTCGTTCAAAACATTTAAGAAATGGTCATGAAAAATATTATTGATTATGCATTTAATAAACCTCCAAACCCCGAGTCTTATGGAAAGAAGGTAAGAGTAAATTTTCAAAGCATCTTTAAAAAATAATTTTCCCAATTTATTGAAGTTTTTTTTTTAAAAACAGAAAAAATATAGGATAGGAAAGATTTTGGGTAAATTATTTTCACATAATTACTTGTTATTATTTTACAAATATGTAAATTAAATAAATTCTATAATTAATATATAGGATCAGGAACTTATGGATCGGTTAAAGAGGCGGTGAATATAAATACAGGAGAAAAAGTAGCTATAAAAATTATCAAGAAGCGTAAAGTAAAAAATCAAGAATCAATTGTTTATAAAGAAATGAAAATATTGGAAAAGTTGGATCATCCTAATATTGTTAAATTTTACGAATGGTTTGAATCAAGGAAAAGATATTATCTAGTGTTTGAACTGTATCCTTTCTGGTCAATACTTAATGTGGGTGATTTGCACATTACATGTCCATTATTGGCTAATGTTTTTTTATAAATATTAATCTTTAATTAACATTAACAATAATGTTAATGATTATGATAATAATGAAAATAAAGTGCAACGGGCGGAGAACTACTTAATAGATTAGTTGAACTCGGTAAATTTACCGAATCCAATGCAGCACAAGTAATTAAAACGGTGCTTGAAAGTGTTAAATATCTTCATGAACATAAAGTTGTACACAGAGATTTAAAGCCTGAGAACTTATTATATAAAAATAAATTAAAAGATTCGCCGCTTGTTATTGCAGATTTCGGGTAATGTTGAAAACTTTTTATTTTTATTATATCAGATGTTTAATTAATCGAACATCTATTAACAATTCATTATAATTTATTAATTTTAGTATATCAAAAGTTATAGATGATAATGATGATATTATGACGACGCATTGTGGATCTTATATTTATGCTGGTAAAATATTTATCATTTGATTATTTAAATCATGAATCATGAATGACATTTATAAATATGATATTTAGCACCAGAAATTCATCGAAGAGTTCCATATTCGAGATCTGTTGATATATGGAGTATTGGGTATTTAATCCTATTGTTAATCGAGTTTTATAATATAGAATTTTGCAAAGATTAATTTACTAATTTTCTGTATTGTATAATATGTAGTATTATAACATATTATTTGTATGTATTATTCATCTAAAAATAATTATTTTATAGACAATTATAATTCATTTTCTAAACAATACACATATTACACGATTCTTTAATAAATAAACAGATTATCTGGACATTTACCTTATTGTTCAAGAAATCGAGATTATCTTCACGAAGAGATAAAAAGAGGAATTATAGAATTTGAAGAAGTTCATTGGAAGAATGTTTCAGACAAAGGTAATAATAACACATAAAATATTAATATTAATTAGCTATTTAATAAATTTTTTTAAATTTTATTTTTAGCCAGAAACTTTGTTTCTAGTTTATTGACACTAGATTCAACCAAACGTCCTACAGCTGAAGATGCTTTAAAACATGAATGGTTGACTGGTGATTGTGCAACAGATGTAGATTTGTTTGAAATTTTCAATCCACGCCAAACCTTTCGTAAAGCTGTTGTTGCAATACAAGCAGTCAATAAACTACAAAATAGCATTAGAAGTCCAGAAAAATCTGACGATAGCGATGATGACAGTGATGATAGCGATGATGACAATTACGATGGCAATGATAATAATGATGGAAACAGAAATAACCAATAATGTAACTAAAACCGATCACGTGTTAGGTGATAAAGATCCCAACTTTGCGTGATTAATTTATTTCTCACCTTTAATTGCATATATTTAGTTGCATTAGCATTATTATTTATTTTAATGGGCGTATGTATATTTATATTATAATTATAATTAACATATAATTAATTTGTTCGCTAATTATCATTTATTAAAAACCATCATTGATTCAAATATTTGTCAAAGTTATCTGAAAGGAAAAATGAAAATATTATTTCTTATTTATTATAAAGAACAAGAGGAGGATGGTTATTATTAAGTGAATAAGACTTAAATTGTTAATCCGTTTATAAAATACATGTAGATTGCAGAAAATCTCGGAAGAGGTCGCAGTAATATTTTATGGACGAATAAATAATCATGTGTTTTTTGATTAATTGTAATGTAATAAAGGCAAACAGAACGAATATGGTTTGAAAAAAAACTGGGTGTCATATTAATTTGACGATCTCACAGAGGATGCCTCTTTGACCATAATAACTTTATTATTATATTAAATTAAAAATTTTTTTTTAATTAGCATTAATTAATATGCTATTTAAGTAATCTAGTTATCTACCGATTTTATGAAATCCTACATACAAATAAAATTATTATTTACAAAATCTTTTTGAAATCCAATTAATTTAATTTACTTGATAATCTAAGGTAGGTTCATGAATATCTATTAAAATTTATTATTAACGAAAAGGTATTAATCATTCATCCATTTAACCATAATTCAAAGACAACAATAGTAATAATTAAATTGTTGTTGTTTTTGTAATAGAATCATCCCTGCAATTGATTTCTCGCCCATAATGATATAATAATATCGTCATCGTTATTAAATAAATAATTTCTATTTTTGAAGGAAAATTTTTACCATGCAAGGAGTGGTAAGTAAAATTTTCCTGTTGTCACCATCCAATGGTAATGATATTACATCCATAAATACATATTTTACAAATATTCTATAATGCTCTAATCGTATTCAATTAATTCATCCCATTTTTCAATATTCCAATCACTATTCAAAAATTCGTTTAGTTCGCTCAGAAATTTTTGGGTGATTTTTTCTCCTTTCAACCACGGTTTCAACAAATCAATCACTTCTTTTTCAGTTTTACTCCCATTAAAATAATACATTGTTAATATGGATTGAACGTGTTCTTCGATAATTTCATCGTACATGTCTGATAATATCACTTTTAAATCGCGAGTAATAAATGGTTTTATTCTTTTTAAATCTGTTTCATTTATTCTTGACTTTTTTGATTTTTTTGATTTTAATATTTCTAAATTATTTGGTGATAGATCCTTCAAGTACACTTCAAGCCTTTGATGTTTATTATTATTTGATGACAAGTTGTTATTATTGCTTGAAATTTCTTGAATCCATTTCTTTCTTTTCTTTGTTATCATCATTTTATCTTTTTCAGTAATCTTAAATTCACCACCGTTGTTATTAACATTATTGCCATGGCCATATCTTTCACCATAGTCATTTTCCAAGTAATATTTTAAAAATGACCCTTTAGCTTCGTCAATATTATGGATTATATATTTTATCTTGTTCTTACACAGCGGACAATAGGGTTTTTTGGTTTTTTTTGCGATTGTTTTTATCCATTGAGAAATACATGAATAACAAAATGTATGATAACAATAATTCAAATAACTTTGATCTTGATATTGATGTAAACATATGGAACAGTTGGATGACGTTGCTTCATTTGTTGTAGTAATCGTGGTTGTTGTATCAGTTGTAATTGTCGCAACTTTTGTGATTGCTGTTAAAGGTTTGTTAGCCTTATTATCGCCTTTATTAATTAGGGATGATACAATGGCCAATTTTTCTTTAGATTCTTCCTCTTCCTCTTCCTCTGATTCATCTTGCAAAGCTAATGTCTCTTCCGCCTCGTACTCATCATAGTCATAGTCGTAGTCATAGTCCTCATAACCAAAGGACATGATATCATCATCTAAACTTTCAAAAAATAATGGTGTGCCAGGTTGTTCTTGACGATAAAGATTCATTTTGTAGAAAAAGATTATTTATTTTATGATTAGTAATTACTTACTATCTTTTCTTAATTTAGCAAATTTTAAAAGTCCAAAATTACAAAATAAATTTATGAGGAAAAAAATAAATATTTTTATTTTATAAATGAATTTATATCAATCAGTGTGTTTTAAGAGATAAAAACTATTGATAAAATATTATGCCATAAATTTTGTAAACATTATCTTCAATTGGATAATGAGAAAAAGCATTGGCTGAAATTTAGAAATTATTATCTATCGAGTAGTATTGTGAAACCAGAATTATCGAATTTGACAAAATTGTCATAGTTTATTTATCAGATTTATTTTTTTGGTAAAATATGGCGAATCGATTACAAATGGTAAGCATATAATTGATGCCATCAATGTGGGTATGATAGACCATGAACATTTTTTGATTGGTAAAAGGTGGTTTAAATAACAAAAGGGCAAGGATTGATTATATTATATTTTTTTCACGACAAGTGTGTTTACATAATCGTGTAACGCACGTGACTTGGTTTACAGTTGAATTCTTTTTTCAAAAATTTTTAGAATTTATAGAATTTATCTTATTTTAAAATAGATTAGACAGTGAAAATAATGAAAGTGAAAATAAAGCGGTAAATGTTTGATTTTGAAGTTGCTTGTTATTCAAAAGGAGTTAAATTTGCTAATTCTCTTTGCATTATTTTAACAATCAGTTGGAATAGTGTAGCTTATTGGCGTTGGGATGTTTCGAATGAGGAAGTATGTGGAATTTGTAGAAATTTATTTGATGGTTGTTGTCCTGCTTGTAGAATACCTGGCGATGATTGTCCACTCAGTTAAAATAACATTCACATTTTATTCATTCGCTATATATATTGTATTCATTATTTCTTAGATACTAATATTAAATTAATATTTAAATAACAACATTGCTATTAATGATGTATATATAGTATGTGGAGAATGTACACATGTATTTCATATGCATTGTTTGTTGAAATGGCTTCAGACTGAAGGAAGTCGCGGCATGTGTCCTATGGATCGTGGAACTTGGGGTAATGTGAATTTAAAATCATTATATTAATATTATATAGACTCTTTGGAATTAATTAAAACACTCTTTTACTATTATTAATAAAATTTTATAGTTACTGAGAAACAAGATCACTAATACTAATTAATAAAATATATTTGAAATGTGTAATTTTTTCACGTCGCTTGCCGTCAATATTTCGTCATTACTTATTATTCATCATCGACGACGTGCAGTCGACACAAAAACGCTTTATTATTTTCAAAAAAAAAAATAAATAAAATTTTTTTTTAATTCTTTACAAAATCAAAAAAAAAATGTTGACACGAATTGATTATATTTGTTTTTTAATGTCAATATTTTTACCACCTTTACCAATATATTACAGATATAGAATTGGATATACATTTTGGTAATAAATCGATCGATCAATCGATCAATCAATCAATCATAAATAATTGTTATTAATTTCATCATTCTCTCTTCTCCTCTTTTATAATGAATCTCCTTTTGACAGGATAAATGTCGCATTGACTTTATTAGGTAGTATTGTATGATTTTTCTTTTTCTTATATTTAAATCTCTTATATAACATCATCAATTAATATTCTACTAATTAATTAATCAAAACAATAAAGGCTGGGTACCTGGTAATATGCAAATAATTAATTAAGTTACAAAGACTATGGTAAACTTTTTTTTAATTGATATTATTTTTCTTTTCAATTAAAAGGAGTATTACATGTGTGGTGTATATTATTATTTAAACTTTGTAAAGATAATTTGTGGTGTTATAGTCATCGTAATAAACCAGAATCAAAATCAATAATAAAGCAAGATAAAATATTATCACCACTAGAATATCAAGAACAACGAGAAGGAGAAGAAGGAGGAGGCACAAAGATAAATAAAAGAATAATAATTGATAATAGTAGCGATTACAATGACAATGATGATGATATCCAGCTACCTTCACCTGTTGATCATATAATTTACGATGATTTACAAGAAATACGTGACGTGAAAGACGCGAAAACTACAATTAAAAATGATAATAAAAATAGTAATGAACCATCATCATCATCATCACCAACAACAATTCCCACTGTCACTACAGAAATAATTAAAAATGATCCAATTGTAAATGATCAAAGTGATGGCATTGATAAAGATGGGAATGAAGATTATATAGAAGAATATGTAGGGGAAGAGTATGAAAAAGGTGGTGATAGTGGTGATAATAAAAGTTACGTGATAGAAAGAGTCGAAGAAGGTGGTGTTGTAAAAATATTAAAGATTGTAAAGAAGCAACATTTTTAAATACAAGTTTTTTCCTTTAATTGTGATCATTAACATTATTAATAAAATATATACGAAGAACCTTGTAACGAACCATTGGCCTTTTTATTTACTTGCCTTTAATTTTAAGTATTAATATTTGGAACAGGATGGATTCAAGACAGTGAATGATACATAATTGCAATCAAGTAAAATAAAAATTCGTTTATATTTTATGTTGCCTGCCATCTGATTATGATTATTTGAGGTACGGCAAATTCAATCGAAAAACTACACAATCGGTTATGTTTAAAGAAGGTAACAAGCATTTCATTCTACCAAAGATTATTTCATCTTCGGGCTGATATCTTGATTCTGCAAGTCGAAAAGATAATTAGAGCAAAAATTTTACACCAAGAGATAAAAGCAAAAAAGAAATTGAAAAAAATTTTTTTGTCATGTGAGGATAGATCATTTTTCACCAATTTCAAAAAAGATGTTATATCTATTTATTATAATAATTAGCTGTTAAATGAAAAAAAAAGAAATAAAAACACAACAAGATGTTGGTGTTGTTGGTAGTTGCGGTGGTTTTGATGAGGAGGCACAGTCTGAACAGACTTTTAGAAAGCGAAAAACTAAAAATTATTATGAAAAGCCAAAGGGTAACATTTAGTTTCATATTTGCGGCTTGCACAATAATAAACTTTATTTGTAATTAATTGGATGTTTTTAGTTATAAAAGATTTGGAATGGTTGAAATTTCGTGAATGGTTAAATCAACAAGGGTTTCCAAAGACCAAGTTAACATTAGCAGAATTTAAAGGTCTTCATTTTTCTCTAAAAAAGGAAAAAAATTGATGCTTGTTGCAAAAATTTATAGTCGAACTTTAATTTTTTTTTGTTTTTGTTTCTATTTAGGAACTGGAAGAGGTATGATGGCAACAAAAGACATCAAGGTTTATTATAATATATATATGTATATATATTGATTCTTTTTTTTTGTTTTGAGGCAATGCACCCATCATCATTAATAATGTTATTATTGATATAATAATTAAGCCAGGCGAAATTATAATATCAGTTCCCCAAAGATTTCTAATAACATATCAAAGTCTGATGACAATATATGGCGAAAGGATTTCAAGGTAAAAAAAAATTTTTATTACTAGATCAACAAGGTCAATATTAATAATATTATAATATTAATAAATATTAATAGATCTTTGATGAAACTTTCTTCACATCAACTTATATCATTACATCTAATTTTGGAAAAGAAAAAACAAGATAAGAGTAAATTGTATCCTTATATTGGTACTCTGCCAACAAATTTTAATAATGTTTTATTAAGTTGTTGCTTCAACAACAATATTAACAATAAAGATAAACATCAAGGTGATGGTGATGGTGACAGTGATAGTGATAGTGATAGTGATAATGATTATGATTATGATAATGATAAGAATTATGATTACGATAATGGTAATTACAATGATGTAATGAAATATTTACCATATCATATTAAAGGTAACATATCTAGTTTATACTTTATGACAAAATGGTTTCAAAATTATTAATATTTGGTGTTGATCTTTTTGTTAGATTTGTTAGAAAATCAAAGGAAAAAATTTATTAATGATTTTAAAGTTGTAAATAAATTTCTTGAGGTACAAATACTAAATAACAATTAGTGATAATAGCGAACTATGATTTCAAAGCATAAATCATTACTAAATAAGTTCAATAATTTTATGTGATTATAACTTAGAAAAACGCAGATCTTTCGATGCCAATTACATATGATGAATTTCTATGGGGATGGTTAAATGGTGGGTAATTGCAGCAGATTTGTTATTTTAATACTTTTTAAATATTATCATTCTCAAAGGTCACAAGATATCAAGTAAATTGTTTGAAAAATTTTTTATGAAAAGTTAATACAAGGTGTATATATATGGAGGAAACATCACAATCAAGCAATGATTTTAGAAAAGAAAACAATATTGCCATTGCACCAATGTTAGATTTTATAAATCACAGCAATGATGCAAAGGTGAATGATCAACTTGCCACAAATGCGCACACACACGAACATATATATATTGATTAATTGATCAATTGATTGAATGTATTGTTAGATTAAAGGAGAATTTAATAAATTTAATAAAAGTTATGAAATAACAACATACGATTCGATTAAAAAAGGACAACAGGTAACTCATTAATATTATTAAAGAGACTCGATTTTCTAAAAAGTTAATAATTAGATTTAAGAAGTTTAATAATTTTATTTTTCAGGTCTTTATAAATTATGGGCCACATGACAATTATTTTCTCTTGATAGAATACGGGTTTATAATTTCTAATAATAGTAACAATGGTAATAATGATAATATTAATAATTATGATTATGTTTTATTGGATAGAGAAGTTTTTGAGATTGAATTGGAGGAACAAGAGAAGATAATGAAGCACGAAACGTTGAAAAACGAAGGATTTTTGGGGTAATTGGAATGTTTGTTTTTTAAGAAGATTCTAATTAATTAAAGATAATCCATCCATCTATTCGTTAATTTATTTGTGTTTTCCAAAAGTGATTACACAATACATAAATCATACGCTTCATTTAGATTGTTAAACTCACTCAGGCTACTATTTAGTAAAAACAATAGTGAGATACAGGAATGGAAACAAGTAATCAGAGGAAACAGAGAAATCATTAATGAAAATAATGAAAGATTGATAAATGATTGGTTAGAGAAAATTTGTAATAGAAAAATACAAGAAATTAATCAAATATTAAATGATATTGATAAAAGCGAGAAAGGGAAGACGCAGGTTGGTAGTGGTAATGTTGTTTGATGTTGATGTGTCTTTTAGTGCCTTTCAGATGGGTTTTTGACTCGAAATTTTTCTATAAATTTTTTTTAGATGAAAAATTTAATAAAAAACATTAAATCCATTTGGTTAGAAATAATTAATATATTAAATTCTATACAATAGGATATTTTTAATAATTCTAACCAATCCGATTAGACATTCACAATGCCAAGTCAGGAATATATTTTTTTGCTAGTAACAAAACAAACATTCAATTTCAATAACGATTATAACGGGATTGAATAATTATCAGTTATTAGATTTTTTTAGAAACCTTGTTTACTGTACGTTTGTTCATATTTTACAATAAAACTAAAATAAATTTTAACCTGGGCACAAAAGTCCAGGGTTCCCGGGTGTGTGGGTGTAGACCTTAACTAAATCGGAATATTAATAGATTTTTTCCATAGAGCCTGCAGTTCGGAGTTTAGGATCATATCTATTTACTGTCAATTGGAGATTTGAATGAAAAGCATCATGCGGATGGCGTGGTTCATTTTATCCTGAATAGGCATGGCAAAGCTTGGCCTGATCTTTGTTTTCTTTAAACGGTACATTCAACTTTATACAAAATGCATGCATTGTTGAGTCTCATCGTCATAAAATTGCATTAATTAGTGTTAAATATAATAATAATAATAATAATTCTTTGTCTTTTTATTTGTGAAGAACGGTTTTAATATATTGATATTAATATTTAATATCCCAACAATTCGGGGGTCATTGACATGTATGTAATGAATGAAGAACCGTGTAACCAACAATCATGTTTTTATAAACGAGAAAGAGGGTCGAATCAAAATTTACCATGAAACACAAATTTGTAACAACGTGCTTTGAGTAATAATTCTCGTAACTAATGAAATCAAATGTTTTTTTATTTAATATGGAAAGAATGTATACTAGGTAGTGTTATATTTATTAGGTGTTTGTGTTAAGATTTATATGTTTTTTATCTTAAATAGTTTTTGGCGGGAAATATTTGAGCAACTGTAAATTACTAAATTAATAATTTTAATTTTATTATATAAATATTTAAATATTAAAAATATTTTTTTGTCAGATAATAAATAAAACGGTTTATTCAATCGATCAATCAATCAATTAATCGTTGATTCGTTTGCTCATCATCACTTGTTCATTCATTTGTTCATTTATTTATTTATTTACTATGAAATTTCATTCCATCCTATTTAAGAGTTTATCTACCCATTCATTTATGTTTTCGCAACCCTCGCAATACCTTTTATATTTCTGCTTTATTAACCAAATTTAAATTTTATTTATTTTTAACTCATTACACAAACATAATATTTTAAATTTTTAAATTTAAGCTTAAATTATTTTTGCTATTGTTATTATTGTTGTTATCTTATTATTACTTGTTTTGTAATATTAAAATTGCATTACGAATACGTGCATTTTTAGATGATAATATTAATAAATGTGAATAATATTAATAAAATATATACGCATATATTAAATAATATTAAGAAAAATCTCCGTTAATATATCTATCTGTTTTATCATCTTTTTTTGTTCATAGTGGTAAATATTATTATGCGAAAGAAAAAAAAGATGTTTCTCTTCAAGGAAAAAATTACTAAAATTAATAATAAAAAAATCTTTAATTTGCACACACAAAAAAATAAAACCTTTCACATGAGTGAGTGAGTAATTTTATTTGTAACAAACAATAACAATAATTATTATTATGTTCAAATTAATTCAATAAACAATAATAATTCAATATTGATTTGATGCGAAAGGTTGAGAAACGAGAAAGAACGAACGGGACGAAGGAAAGGAAAAAAACAAATATAAATTTATGCAAATAAATTTTTCGCGAGCTCTTGCTTTTTCACCCAAATCAAATCAATTTATATATTTGTGTGTATTTATATGTGTATATATATATATATATATATATATATAATATTTTTCATGTGAAAGTCGAACAAATAAAAATAAAATATGTTAAGCAAGATTATTAAGATTATTAAAAATTTGAAAAAACCCGTTCTGTTCTCAAATAAACGAACGAATCGAAAATTGATTTACTGATCGTACAAGTACGAATAAAAGAAGTTAATTTTTAATTTTTTTTGTAAAGGAATAAGAAGAAAAAGAAGATAAAGAAAAATTAATTATTTGTTTTTTTTTTATATAGTTACATGGCATAAATCATAATATAATGCTTCATTCTTTAATACATTAAATAAAAAAAAAAAAAAAAACAATAAAATCGAAACCAATAGTAAATCCGGCAGTAATCTTAACCTTAATCATTCACAACAGAACAATGTTAATTTATGCATGTCCAAACGAGATAAGTAAACAAATGAGATGGATTATGATTCGACCTGATTCAAGAAAGAATCAATGAAAGAAAATGAAAGAAAGAAAATAAAAGAAAGAAAGAAACCCATCAAGAAGGAAAAAACAAATCAACAGTAAAATGTTACATTTATCGTTGCTTGCGTTCTTCGTTCTACAATTAATCAATAACAAACAACAACAATTAATAATAATAAATTAATGATTATCAGAAATAATTAGTAATTATTGATAATAAAAAATAAAGAGATTTTAATAAAACACTGCATACAAACAAAGATATAAAGATGGTTAAATGATTAATCATTACAACGTAGAAATGACAACGTAGTAGCGATATCTGTATTATATTCACACGTTATAAATGATATCAACAGATAACAACTATAGTTATGATCAACATAATCAAATCTAAATCTAAATCAGATTATAATTAAATGAAATCATAATCTTTACAAATTACTCGTTCACTCTTAAAACCCTCTTTTTCCATTTTTGAAAAAGAAATGAAAAATAAATGATGATCATTGAATTATACGCGTAGATGTGCGATTAGGATTAGCTATTGTCTATTATACAGATACATAAATCGCATAGATAATACAGATAAAATAAATCTAATAAATATTGAATTTATTTATAATTGTGGTTGAATAGCGAGTTTAAATTTGTAATTGAATTGAGAAATTGAATTGAATTTGAAATTGAAATGTATATTATATAATAGATTACATTTGCAAAATATTACGCATATAAATTAATATGTAATTAATTCTAGATCATGTTTTCATTGGAATGATTATTATAATAACTGGTTGTACTATTATGATTATACCATTTATAATAACCCATTATATTGCTTTACTTAACAAAGAGAACAAGAGCATTGAATAAAATAATGCTTAGGTACATAAAAATTTTTTTTTTAAATACCAATTAATCAATCAATTGATTGGTTGCTTAATCAATATTTACCGGTTAATCAATATTCGGTCAGAAATGAGCGATTTTGATATTTTCTTTTTTAAATGCAAAGATCACACGGTCGTGGTGCGCAGGCATTTTCATTAGGAATTCCGTTTTTAAAAATTTTTTTTTTCACATTTCTTTAATTGAAACTCAAATTAAACTCCTGATAATTAAAAAAAAAAAAAAAGCTATTTTTAGGGATTTTTTTAAAGCATGCAAAAAGTAAAATAAAATAGGCGAAGGGAATAAAATCATTTTAAGTTAATTTAATCAATAGATGATTTTATTTTTTTTTTTTAGGAATCAAGTGTATGTATGTAAATAAAATGTAAAAATTATATATTTAAATGCCTATTGAAATACCCAGTGTAACAAACAAATATTGCAGGGGGTATTTGTCCATTGTCAATATTTTCAGGGCCAACATTATTTATTCATTTTTTTATTATCCATTATTGAAGAATGGCCATTTTACTGCATTCATTATTTATTATTATCATACATAATAAAGGAAAAACCAAAAAAGTGCATTAAAGAAAAAGTTCTTGTCATTATTTATCAATTATTTATTTTAATTTCTAATTCACAAAAATGTTCAATGATGCTATGAAGCATTAATAATGATTGTGTACATAATAATGGAAGAAAAAAAAGTCGTCAAGGAAGATGGAGGTAAAAGAGAAATTATTTTGATGAACATTGTAGGAAAAATTAAAATTTATAAATATTTATTTTTTTTTTATAAATAATAAATAAATAGATTGAATCTTTTTAATTCCTAGTTTAGTTTTAATCTCTGAAAAAAAAAAAAAAATCTTTTTTCCAACACTAACTAGGCTTTTTTATTTATTATTATTTTAGGGTTTCGCTTTTTGATAATAATAATAACTAGATTAGGGAAATTTAATTTTTATACCATATTTGGGGATTATCCACTCTTGTTGACTCGATCAACATGGGTAGTGAATATGGAAATTAAAGTAAATAAACATGTAACCAATAAATTTTAAGATCGTCGTCGTATTGATTACTTTAATATATATATATTAATTAAAATATTGCTTTGATTGCCTCTTTTTTTTTCCATTCATTCATTCATCATTTAATTTATATCCGTCTTGACATTTTTTTTTTTTTTTAAAAAAAAAATTAATATCAAACCATTAATTAATCGCAAATTTAATCTGAAAATTATTTTTTTAAATTAATTAAGCCTAAAATTTACTAATTAATAGGAAGGCAATTACGTAATAATGAGCTTTGAATTAACTCTTGATTAATAATAAGTTAAAATAAAAAACCTTAAATATAATAAAATGTATTTTGACATATACGGATAATTGATCATTCTACTATTATTAAAATTTTATTTCGAGGGAGCGAATATGTGTAAATGTAAATGTAAATGTGATTAATAAATAATTAATATTAATAAGTAAATATTAGATTACGAAATCTTTAATTAATAAACTTAATGGTTCATAAAAGATGCACATGTTACCTTTCACTCAGTAAATGCTCTTATATACAATTAAAATTAATAAATTAAAATATAAATTTAGTTTAATTTTTTATTTTAAGATTTCAATAAGAAATTTAATTAAAAAAATATAAATAAAATAATAAAATAAGAAATGTTGAGCACACACCAAATTCTTTAAATAAAATAAATATTTAATATTAAATTTTTTTTTTTAAATAAATAATGATAAATATAATAAATAATAAATAATAATAAAAAAAATAAAAAACAAGACAGATAATAGGGAAAGGTATAAAAATAAACAATTTTTTTCTTTCGAAAGAATTTCATTCATTTATTTTTCTTTTTAATAATATAAATTAATATAATAATAATAATAATTACTGTATAAAATCATATATATATATATATATATATATATATTACTTAAACACTCTCAATAAAAATTAATTTAAAAGGACAACGAACGAAACAAACAATTTCTTCGTAAATTTATTTTTACTATATATAATAAATATCAATTACATGACCGTCAAATTTTCCCAACCTTACACATGCACACACTTTTTTGGACAATCTAGCGTCGATCCAAAAATATTCGCAATTTCAAATATTTTTAAATATAAATAATAAATAAAATCTTTTGTGTACATAGAAATTTATCATATATATATATATATATATAATAATATTTTTCTTTTTTTTTTTTATTTTAAAAAAAATTAATAAGTCAATCATTGTTGTTGTTGTTCTTTATCTTTTTAAAAAACATAAATAAAAATAATTAATTTAATAAACCTTCTTTATTCACACTTCATTCTCTCTTCCTACTCTCAAACAAAACTATTACCTTGGCATATTCGCAAAGTGTTAAAAGAATTTTTTATTTTTATTTATATCAATTTACAAAGTTATTTTTCTTCTCATTCTCATTCTCATTCATTATTAAACTTCTCATCATTCCCCATCACTTCTATCGCACACGCCCCATCACATTTTCTCATTTCACTATAAATAATTCACGAAACAAATAATTTCTCCCGAACATTTCATCAGCACACAACACAATTATTTTTTGACTTCAACCAGACTCCATCTGAACCAACCAAAATTCTGATTTTTTTCTTTTTTCTCTTTTTCTTTATATTCTCATCAAACACAACTACAAACAATATTACACACTACGCATACATATAGTTGTAATATATATATATGTATATATATATATATATATATATGTACATACATTTTTTCTTTTCTTTTTTTATCTTTTTTAATTAAAAACTCTTGCGAGGGAAAGAAGAAAAATTGAATATATATGTTAATAAACTGAATTAATATGCAATTTATTAACAATATGAACAACAACAACAACAACACAAACAACATCATTGGGATTAACAACAATAACGTCTCTTTAGCCACATCTTCCTGTTTTCCGAACTTGTCATCATCAATTACCGCCACCACGAATTTCGCAAACAACTCATTAAAATATCAAGAATTCCTCCAACAACAACATCGACAACAACAATTGTCTTCCGCTTCTTTTCCTCACGCCATTTCTATGAATTCGGAAAATACTATTACGACTACGGCTGCGATCGACAACGATTCTCAACAGACTGCTGCTGTTGCTGTTGCTGCTTTATCATTTGATCAGACTAAAGGACTACAACAACAACTGCTCTGGACACCACAAGACAACAACAATTATAGCGATGCCAATGTTAATGATAATCAATGTCAACATATTACAACAATATCCTCGACAACAATTCCTTCAGCCCCGGCAACTCCAACTGCAACCACGACACCAACAACGCAAAAACCATACGAGACTCCAAAAGTTCCAAGACCTCCAAACGCATTCATCATTTACCATAGAACAAAATCTAAGGAATTAGCACGTTACAAATCTTCAATTCGTTCTAATTCTTCCTCCTCCAACAACAACAGCAACACTGGTCATCCGTCAAAAACTGTGGCAGAGATGTGGAGGGAGGAAACTGATGCGGTCAAATTACGATATCAACGTGAGGCCGATTTGGCTTTAGTTGAGCATAAGAAAAAATATCCATTTTATAAATATCGACCTAGGAAGCGTGAAAATAAAAATAAGTTAAAAACTCGTGGTTGTGGTGGTGCTGGTAATAACAACAAGTGTGTAAATAATAACAACGGTAATTGGAAGTGTTGTAAATGTGTAAATAATAATAGCAATTGTAACGAAGGATGTAAATGTGACAATCTTATCATTATCAATGATGGTATAAATGAAAATAGCTATAATAATAATAATAATAATAATAATAATGGAGCAATATTATCACCAACTGATTCAGAATTTGGTATTGTAAATAAAGATGATGATCATCATGATGGATCAGAAGTTCCACCAGAACATAGAAAACAAGCTTCAATGGAATCAGCCTTTACTGTGTTTGATTTGAAAAGTCTAGAAGAAGAAACTGGTGCCGGTAATAATGATGATAATATTAGTAATAATAGTATTACCAATAACAATGATAGTATAAAGGCAATCAAGAAAAATACATTTTCACCACCACAAACACCTAAGACGCCAAATTTTTTAAATCCATCGGAACATCATCCTCTTTCATTAATAACAATGGCATCGAAAATGCCACAATCGGCAATTATATCATCATTATTACACCAACAATTGTATCATAGCCCAATTGAAGATCTTCGTCACCAGCAATTTTCTTTGCAAATGTCTAGAGAAGATAGTAATGCCAGCAGCTCATCATCGTTCTCTACTTCTTCCTCCAGTTCCGCATCTTCCTCTTCTTCATCTTCAACTTTTAATAATACTAACAGTTACGAATGCCCAAATTCCATTGATTTAGACAATGGTCAAAGTTCATTAGTAATAAATCAGCCTGATCATTTACAACAGCAGCTGATGTTCACACAAGATGAATTTCAACAATATCCTTCAGAGCTCTCACAAGATGACTGGAACTCTCAATTATTTAATTATATCAATGGTAGTAATGCCAGTAATGATGGTTATTATGTCCAAAACTTTATGAATTTGTTCGCGGCAGCAAATCCATTTCCATTGGATTTCTCACAATTAAATGATTACAATGTAAATAATAACAATAATATTAGTGCCAATGTAAATAGTAATAGCATTAATATTAATAATATAAAGCAAGAAGATGTCAATAGTAGTGATAATTATGGTATGGTATCACTGCAACCACAGTCCATAGCTCCAAGAAGATCAATAATGATTAGTCCACAACCACCACTTCCACAGCTATTATTGCAGCAACACCAAGAACCGCCAACACCCACCAGCCCATTAGACGCTTTCCCAATTTTGTCCATGTCAGAGACAAATAGTAATAGTAATATTAATAATGTTGGCAATGATAATGATGGTAATGGTTATAATGGTTGTTATACATTTTATACAGCATCATCACAGCAACCTGATATTTTAGAATATTTTTATAATAATGATTAAATCAATTTGATTTGATTGGTTGGTCAATTTACTGATTTTGTTATTCCCTATTTTTTTTTATATTTATTTATTAATTTATTACATAAAAATTTTTTTTTTCTTTATAAATAATTTTTATTTTTTTTTAAACTGTACAAAAATCAAAAAAAATCCCCCATTTTAATGAACAATGGAACGTCTCGTATATATATACATGCTATAGTAACATTAGTAATAGTATAATAGTAATAGTAATGATATAGTAATAATAGCAGGTAGAGGAGGTTATAAAATTTTATAAACAAGATATATATAATAAATAAAGAGAGATAGAAGATAATAATAAATAAATTAATATGCAAATTTTTTTTATAAAAAATATACTAAAAAAAAATATAGTAAAATATACATACAATAAAAAAAATTTTTTTTTTCAATTCTCTCGTCGAATTTTACGTATCGGGTTTATTCCTTTTATTCCTGAAAAAATAACAAATAATAAATTTAATGTTTTTTTTTTCTTTGGATACAGATAAACTTTAATATTATTTTATTATTTGTTTGTAAATAATTAATTATAATGGAATTTAATATGATTAGTTAGATTTGCATCTACTAATTAGATGACAAACAATAATAAAATAATAAATAATAGAAGCTTGCTTCTTTCTTTATTTCGTTTTGTTGGTGATTGATTTGCCGTGAAACATTAAAAGAAACATCTCAGAATGTTGAATGTTATTAATTTAATTGTATTATGATAATGATGTGAAAATGTGACAACGATAACATAGAAACAACAAACGAGGAAACATGAATACAACAATTGATAAATCATATTGTATGCACAAAAGAAATCTGTTTGAACGAATTTGAATGGTTTAAAATAATTGTAGATTGTTTCTTTTAATATTGTTTTAATTGTTTAATTGTTGATCTTTGATTGATAGATCGTGATAAAAAGGGAAGTTTTGGGAAGAATTTATCGGAAATTAGGAGGAAATCAATAAATTCTTTGAGAATTTCGGAAAAAATTGTTAGGAAATAAATAAAGTTTGTTGTACAAAAATTCCTTTTGTGTGTGAAAAATAATAATTATGATGATAGAAATCTAAAAATAATAATACAATTGGAAAAAAGAATAATCGGTATAATTTTGATAATTATTCTTCCTGCTTTAATTAAATTATTTAATTAATAATATTTTCTGACTGTACAAATTATGCAAATTTTGGTATTATTTTCCTTTAATTTTTTTGTAAACTCTTAAAAAAGGTTTGAAAGCTGTCAAACCATTAAAACTTCATCAAATCGAGAATCTTTAATAATCGCGACATTGTTATTATATAATTATTTGGTAACTATTTAATAATATTTAGCAATAATACCTAATAATAATAGCATTCTTGACTCCCAGACTGCATTAATACGCGCGCGCGCGCATACACGCACAGGTCTGTTCATTAATGTATATATATATATATATTTGACTTTTCATCCCCACACTACCCAGATCATCGTCATTTAGAAATTATTCTTAATTTGTGCCTTTGAATGCTTCTTTTTGTTTTATTTCATTAACGTTAATAATAATGAGTAATCATAACAATAATTAAATTTAATAACATCGTGCATATTTGATTATATTTTTCAAAGGTCCCTTACAAAAAAAATTATCTAAATATAAAATTGCACCAATCATCTTTCTTGCCATCTTTGATTTTCTTCATCTTTGAACATTTTCTTCTATTTTTGTATCTACAGTACAATACTAATTTCTTTCCTTTCATCATCACCATGGGAATAATGATGATCGATAATAAGAATATTTATCACCATTCTCCTGAAATTAATTAATCAGTGAAAGATAGATATTAATAAATGATTAAAAATGAATGCGTGGTTATTGCCGTACTCAAATTGTTCAATCAATTAATTGTTGTTTAAATTAATTAATGGTCATTTAAGTTGTTTTTTTGAATAAATGAGGTTTCATTTTCAATTGACGTTAAATACCTCTTCTATTCAAATCTTAATATGTAATTTATTGAAATTTCAAACAAGATAAATACAAGTTTTTTGAATCAATCAAATAATAATAAACAAATGTAAATGAATGAACATAAATTTGAACATGAATGGAGGATTATTTATTATTGTTATTATTATACTATTTACTATTTACTATTACTAACACTATTACTATTACTATTACTATTACTATTATCTATTATTTATTATTTATTATTTATTTTATATACAACAGATTTTTAATAATAATAATAAAAAAAAATTTTTTTACACTTTAAACTTTAAAAACCCCTTCCCTCCAAAAAAAACACTTCCAAATTCTCGGTAACAGGTAATTTGACATTATTTTTATTATTATTTATATATACCATTTTTCAGGGTTTTAAAAACATACTAACACCCCAATTTAATTTAAAATTTTTTTGTTATCCCATGTATATACATATGTATGCAGGATTAATATTAATGTTTTTAAATTTTATTTATTTATTTCCTATCCTAGTATAATAGTAGTAATAAATTATTATAAAGTTTTTCAAGTTATTATTATAGTCACTATCACCAGTCAGTTAATATTAAATTAATATTACTATTATTACTATTATTATTATTATTATTACTATTATTACTATTATTACAATTACAATTACAATTACAAATTAAAATACAATTACGATTACGATTACGATTACGATTACAATTACAATCACTATTGCTCATGTCCGTTATTACTGTTGTTATTGCCATTAAAAATAATAATTAATAAAAATTTAGAAAATAATCATGCTCGTTCTTTTTTTCGTCCATTCTTTCTGATCACTTGATATAATAACAAAAACATGTGGAAATTTTTACATATTGCATTATTATTATTATTATTGCTACTTTTTACAATTATAAAAGGCAGTTTTGTGTAAAGAAAATTTTAAAAATGTAACATCCCTCAATGCATCAAATATATTAATGTGTGATAAATAATAAGTCGGGGATTTTTTTGTTCCCAGAACTACAAACGTCCCGTTTCATTCCATCACCTCATTATTAATTCCGGAATTTCTAAGTTTCTTAATATTTCAATTGCTACGTCTAAAATTTTTTTTTTGTGATTGTTTTTTTTTTTTTTTTTTTGAAATAATATAAAGTTCAGGAGGAAAAAAATTTTTATCAAATAAAAAGAAAAAGACCACTTACACAAAATCATAACGTTATACTTTTGATCAGATAATGTATAATAATATTTTTTCAGCGGGAATTTTTCCCATTCAATAAATAAAGAGAAATTTCCGAACCTCTTAAAAATTTTACAAAGGAATCGGATGGTGATGTTCGTTTTGTTATTGTTATTATGATACTAACAATTAAATAATAATAATAGTTACGAAAGTTATCAAATGTATACACATACTAACAAATAATAAAACAAAACCAATCTTTTCATTCGCATCATCATTTTTCACTTATTATTTTTATTTTTATTATTATTTTTATTATTATTTTTGTATTTTTATTATTATTTTTGTCTTGGTATAAATTTCTTTATTTTTTATTTGTCCTATTTTTTTGTATTTCTTCATTCAAAAAACCTATAATCCATCCACCGATCTTTGTCTACTTGTCAACAACGTATGCGTAAATCTATTCATTCGTTTATCAAACATCCACCCATTCATCCATCCCTTGAGTCATTCATTCATTAATTCATTCATTATTTAGTATGTCCACTTGTAAAATGATCTATGGCTGTCGTATACCCGATCAACATATATTTACCAATACTAACAAAGATATTATAATTAAAATACAAAAAACCAAAGCACAATGGTAAAACGATGAATGGATCGATTGGTTCACAACCACTCAAAAGCCGGCCACCATATTAATGTCATCCAATAAATTAATTTGTTACCGTCCCCAAATAGATAGATGAAATTATTATCATCATAATATAAAACCGGAACCATACCAGGTCTAGAACTTAATCAACGATTACAATGATTTGTACATAATTCGGTACTTTTCGATTTATACTAAACCACAAATGGGTTGTCAGAACACACACACACATATATGTATTAATATTTATGTACTGTATATTTTCAAAATATTTTCGATATACAGTGTGATTCAAAAAAAAAAAAAATTTGGTGGTTACAAAAAAAAAAACGCAATTACACAACATAATTACTAGGTTTATTTGAAACCTTATTAAGAAAATTTTTTTTTTAATAATAATAAGAAATCCTATCCCCTGTTTTTTTTTCTAATAGAGGAATCATCACCCATGCTTCAACCATAAATTGTTCCAATTCCATCAACACTTATAGGTATCCTTATCTCAACACATGTTATCTATCGGATCGAGATCAGGATTGGATGGCCAGCCAATCATGTTAACCTTATTTCCAGCAATGAAAAATTTTCGTAACACGTGATGTGTGCTTTGGATCATTGCTCCATTAAAAGCGTCAGTTTCTACCATGCTGCATTTGTGAGGCAGGAAAATTCTAGTTCTGCAATATGTTGACATAATAAGGGCCATACATGATATCAGTAAAACAAATAATGGTGTTTCACCTTTTAATGAAATTCCCCAAATGCCATTGCTTTTTGCCATGATTTTGGTAATCTGCGAATTGGTCTTTATGCCATATACGAATCTTGTTACAAAAAAGATCAAATGCTATGTAGTCTGTAGACATTGTAAGGCTCTAATCGTCATTCAAAATGATCCTGTTGTACTCATACTATTCGTGAATTGGTATTACGGTAGAGTTGTTAGTTGAAGAAATAATTTCGACAAACATTTAGGCATTTCGACTGTCGAAATATATTCGACAAGGTCACTTGATTTGCCGTAATGTCGAAAAATGTCGAAATATTGAAAGTCTAAATTGATGTCGAAAGTCTAAATATTTCTCTGAATTAATATTAATATTAATAAAACTGACTATTTGCGCCA